GAGTCTGTGGCTCACACACTCTGAAACCCTGCGTGTGGCTGAGCAGAGGGTTAAGGCAGAAGTGAAAGATTCTCCAGGAGGCAGGTGGACACAGTGGCTGCGACCCTCGACTCCCACCTGGCAGTGACCCCGAAGATGCACTGGACTGGGCCCTCCCTGCCTTGCACTGCTGCACACGGGCCAGTGGCTATGGGTCGGGGCCGACTGGAGGGCGCCATCCACAACAGCACGTGACTGGGATACTGGCTGTGAGCACACGGCTCTGTGTGGAGTCCCTGGGCGGTGGCCACCGGTGGATTCAGGGCTTGACTCCTCCCCACAAGCTTGGCGGCTGCAACCAACCCAGAGGCGTCTTGGAAGAACATCCTGGTGACCTGCTTCTGAAAGGCTTCAGCCCAGAAAACTGGAGCAGCCCTGCTCTGCCCACAAGGGCTCTCCCTGAGTCCAGGACAAACGGGCTGGGCTGGCTTTTTGTCATGCGGGCAGTTCGCAGGAATGAGGCTGCAGCTGCCATTGTGTTTGTGGCTGTGTGTGGCTATAGGAAGGAAGCCAGGGGGTCAGGTGGTTAGGAATATGGCTGCTCACCTTAAGGTCAGCAGTTCGAAACCACCAGCCACTCCGGGGGAGCAATTCAGGGCTTTCTCCTTCCCGTCTAGAGTTACAGCCCCGAAAACCCACAGAGACAGTTCTAACCAGCCCTAGGGGTTCACTGAGGGTCGGCATGGACCCAGTGGCACCGAATGAGGGTGAGTGTATGACTCTCCCCAAGGTCACCAGCCACCCCCCAGGGAGAAAGTCAAGGCCGTCTACTCCCATCAATAGTTATGGTCTTGGAAACCTACAGGGGCCATTCTGGCCTGCCCTACAGGCTTGCTGTGAGTCAGAATCAACGCCGTGGCATGGAGTTTGGGTTTGGGTTTTGTAAAGGCCTGGAGTTCTTGTCCCCGCCACCAAGGGGTCCAGCGTGTCCGAAGTGGCCATCGCTAGGAAAAGGAGTTTGAATGTGGCCGGATGATACATTCTGTGCAGAAGAGAGACCTGCCAATCCTGCCCCATAGAGACGACAAGATCTGAAGGCTGATGGGGCGGTTCTACGCTGTCACAGGTAGCGTGGCTTCTAACTGAAACCCCTCCGGGGCTCCGTTGACCTGCTCCCATAAGGGTAATGGCCAAAGCCAGAGCAGAGCAGGGCAGCACCCAGCCCTGCAGGGTGGACAGGAGTTCGAATGGACTGCCTGGACAGCACCCAATAGCGACAACCGTTGGGGTGGTGTAGTGGCCTGCGTCTTTTGGAAGGCTGCATGCCGTTGTGTGTGAACTTTGTCAGAATTTGGTGATGAGTGCTT